GATTTAATACACGGGTCCAAAATGACCCGCTAACACCACAGATGGCAGCAGAAAGCTAACACCAGAGGAAGGTTAATCCAAACTACTGTTTTCACAAGTGTTCCTAGACAAGTACTCATTTAATACCTCCTGATGGACTGCTTTGCTCTGACTGCTCATTAATATGTAGCATTTAGCGGATTTGATTAAATATGTAGCACTTGTCACTATGTCTGACAATGGATATTGAAAAATGTGTCTGCACTAAAGCAGAAAAACTGAGCATTCGGCTGTGTTTTTTAAAAGAATATAAGTAATGACAGAAAGCTGACAGGGACTGAGCACAGCGGTGCTGTAAACAAATGTGTCTCTTGTCAGAGTCAATCGCATGGAAATATTAAGAAGAAAGTAGAATGGAAACAACAACAAAGAGGAAAACAAAATGAGACTGGAAAGCACAAGTTGTGTGATTTTTTTATTCTTTTTTTTCAAGAATAAACTTTCTAAAAGGAACATTCTGCAGCTGCCAAAATTTGACATCAAGAAGGCCAAAACTACAAGACAGAAGCCGAGTTTTAGTCTCTCTGCACAACATGTATTTGCAATAAAACAGAAACACAGAAAATGTCTGAAATTAAATAATTATTAAATTGTGGATTCATAAAATCTTTTGATACAAAAAGAGTGATATGTCATCAAGACTAAATTTGCACAACCAAAATAAATATTTTGTAAATTATTTTTTGTTTTAAATATTAAAAATACACACCCAGATTGCATGCACAAAAATACACTTACATACAGGTTTTAGAATATGACAGACATTTCTTATAATAAACTTGTAATAAACTGGACATATAGTATCTTGCTGCATGTTTTGTATTTTGTATTATTTAACAGTATATTTATCACCAATAATGAAGGCAGGCAATAATATATTTGTTTGTCCACGTGCATGTTTGTTAAAATACGTATCCCGCAAAACTCTGATTAGATAGAGATGGAAACTCTCAGATATTATCAGATGTACATCTGCAAGTGAAGAAATTTTGGAAGCCAACTTAATTGAAAGTGTCCACTACAGCTAATAAACCTTAGCAACCACAAAAAAATATAGTTTAAACTTAGTCTTTTTACAGATAAGATAAAYTTTGGTGACAAATTAGCAAGACATATTTCCCATCACATAATTCAAATACTAACAGATCATGTGACATACCTTTTTTCTTTTCTTTTATATTGACATGCTTTGAGACAGGGAATATGGGTTTCTTCAGGATTTATTAAGTCCAATACTTCTGCCTTCACCACAGTGACACAGTTTTGTGAGCTGTAGTTTCATAACAAGAAGGTTTCAKCTTTGTCTCCTGACCTCACTGTTTGGATTTGGCATGTTTCAAGTGGATTTGTTTTTTTTTTTTCCTTTGGTTTCCTCTCAGTGCAAAAACATGCATAAAGCTAATGTTGTCTCTAGATCCAAGTGAGCCCATGAATGTTTGTCTGTCTTGCTCGTCTCTGTATGGCCTTATGATGGATTTGTAACCTGTCCAGGGTGTACCTGCCTCTTTGCACAGTGAAAACTAGAGATAAACACTGTTTCACCTGAGTAGAAAAGTGTAAGCGGTTAAAAATGGATGGATGGATGGATGGATGGATGGATGGATGGATGGATCATGGATGGACTGAATTATTTCTGACATTTTTGTATTTTTTTGTTGCTATTTTAATTGTTTGAAATCTGTTCTATACTTTCCCTGCTGAATGGGTACTTTAATGTTTACCTCTTTTCTATTTGTTTATCCTGTCTCACTCATCTCAGACAGTTGGGCGGCCATGACTAGCGAGGAGGAGGAGGGCCTCGGTGTTGCAWCATCAACAGCGACAGCACCGTCAGCAGCAACAAACTCCAGGGTAACAACTGCCACAGGCAGAGGCAGCCACAATGATGCCGCTTCCTCCTCAACCCCATGCAGGCCCTCCCATTACTCCCACCGCTTTCCAGAGGAAACAGAGGCAGACGTAGACGAGGAGCAACGAATTGTTCTAGAAGAGAGGATTGTAGAAGAAGAAAAGGAGCAGGAGGTGGTAGTGGAACGTGAGCGGGAGACTGATAATGCTGATGAGGAGAATGATGGCAGCAGTGACACCAGCGTGTTGATCGTGCCCTATCCTGAGCTGGTACCTGTGGTCTTCTTCTGTCTTAAACAAACAACCTGTCCTCGCAGTTTGTGCATCCGAATGGTCACCAGCCCATATCCTTTGAAAAAAAAGTATTTGGTGATGTAAGTGTGGGTTATCTGCACACGTCTGTACTGTCTTTATCCTCATTTATTCAGTCATTCCTCTTATGTTTCTAAATTAGATTAAATACATATTGCTTAAAGCTTGTGTGTCAAACATCAAACTCAAGGCCCTCAGGCCAAATGCAGCCTGCAGGTGACTTCTGTCCGGCCTGCTAAAAAGCCCCGCCATCTCACACAATGCACAATGTACTGGGCTTGAAGTATGTGTTGGGAAAATGGCTCAGCTACTAACACACAAAATTTTAGATCAGTATTTACAAAATTGGATGGTAATAGCTGTTTTTGTCTTATAAGATCACTTGGCAGCTATCTTGAATTGAAATGACTAAAAGTTATTTCTTAGTAGATGCACAGAATAACTAAAATCCATTCAGTTATTCATGAAATGTTTTGCTAACAAACAGAYAAGGGTTGTTTCAATATTTTCTGGCAGTTTTAAGTTGTTAAAAAAAGGTTTTACTCACAGATTTGGTGAGATCAGTTGGTGTTCACAGCATAATTTGGGGATCAGGTTCAGTTATCACAGGACTAAATTTTAGATCAATATCTGTAAATTTGACTTACCAACATTTAGATTGATTGTTTATTGATATGTATTTCCCCCAATAAAAAATACAATGAAAATAATCATTGTTCATTCAATGTTTACTTTCTGAAAATTTAAATAAAATTAGTTTAGTGATTTGTGAAATATTTTGCTAAAAGTACAGACAAACGAATACAAACAAAAACTTTATTGCTTTGACTCCAATGACAGGTGATAATAACTCTAGAAGTTTTAGAATGTTTCTCATCATACAGAAGTGCATCACTTTGAGTTAAAAAAGTTTTTGTTGATGTATCACTTATTAAATTTCCCTTTCATGGCAGCAGCATGAAGCTGGAGCAGGGTTTGTGTTAAAGAAAACACCTCAAAGAAGACGATTTACTGACACGTCTTTTTTTTTTTTGTAGCCAAACTGGCAGATTTTGCCCTGGAGATGTGCTGCTTCTGCCTGACAGACACACCGGGTTCTTGGTGTATGAAATCCTTTTATACGTTGTTTACAAAGTAGTTCCATCCTTACAGCAGTTTTTATACAGTAGAAACTGTTTGTCCCTTGCTTTTAGGTTACAGGCTTTGACTCACTTTCTTGAAATCCTTTTAGAATGTGTCATCTTTAATGTTAAAGATTTATCTTTATGTTTTTTTGCAATGTAGAAAAGTTGGATTACAGTACAGACAGTGAACTCTGTTAGCTGCCCCAGGCATTGCTTATCAAGCCTCTTAAGGGCAGCCTTTACAGTGAGGTGATGTGTGACTCACACTCACAGCTAATATAAGCTATCAGAAGGCAACGCACCACATCATGTGTGTAATAGTAAGAAGTAGTTACTTGCTATAATTTGTTGAAACTTGCTGAAGATAAAATAAAAAATACAAAGAAAAGAAATCCAGAGATGGATTATAAAGAGAACTAGTAATAC